TATATATATATATATATATATATATATATATATATATATATATATATATATATATATATATAATTCCACCTTACAAAAAATAGTCGAACTCTTCTTATTAACCCATTTATGGTTTTTCACTCATGTGTTTCAATTATATTCCAAATTTAAGTCATATTTGTGACTTAATTCATTAACAAAATATTTTTGGCATGTATAGTTACAACTTACAAATAAGGTACAACCCATTTATACAAAATCTTGTCCAATTATTCCATATGACTTAATACCTTCGTCTACTAAAGTAATTTTTCACTTTAAGCCACTCTAAACAACTTAATTTATTAAGTTGTGGACTTAATTCCATCACTAAATAATTTATCATGTTAGGGGTTATCATCGTCCCTTTTCAATCCATCATCTAAATCATATACACACATATTAATGAACTAGAGCTATTACAATACCATAAACAAGATTTCATCCCTAGATTTTTGGATTACACTCAGGGTTTCACCAATATCTTCAATTTCCCAAAGTATAACATAGCTAGGATTAGAAATTGGGGATAGCTTTACCTTAATCGGATGATTTGAAGGATTAAACCTTGAAATGACACTTCTTATCAGTATGTTATTAGTAGGTGTAATCGCACATTTGTGTGCATGTTTTAAGAGTATGAATTGAAATGACCGACTAATGTCGAGTCTCTGTTTTAATATGTTGTAGCATACTACACTCCGTATGTGCTACATTCAACGCTAATTCAAGATGTTTTTACTTTTGTCACTAAAAGTCGTTCCTAAAAGCTAATAATAATATACTTTCTTTCGCTTCGTGTCCTTACCATATGTGTCGTGTTTCACAAAAGTACGATGTTGTCACTATTCCTTTTACGTAACACGTTTCTCGCCTCACTTATGTGTCGCGTCCTCTTTGCTCTACGCGTCGCGTAATGTATCAAAACTTTAGTCTTTTTTTTACAACTTTTTCCTATTTCATTATCAATTTATAACACCGATACAAGTTTTTAACAAGAAAATTTGAATTTGAACACATTAATACACACATATCTATATATCATAACTTCACAAAAAGGGTATTACACGCACATGAGAAACACAAATCAAGATACATCATGTAGTGATGATAAGTTTTCAAAGGGTAGAGTACTAACCTTAAGTTGTTAAAAAAAATACTCACTTCACCACTATGCTTGAATGGTTGGCCCATGATCAACTAAGTGGTTATCCTTTAATAAAGCATTTAGTTATAATTAATCTTTTTTTAATCTCATTTTATTTCTTAAATATGTTACTTAAGTCATCAAAGACCATTGACAAAAATCGGACCTGATTTGGAGCCCAACGCAAAAGTTATAGATTTTACAAAAAAAAAAATTCTCAATTATTACACGACCCATGTAATTTAAGCCTATAAAATACATGACCATGTAATTCTATTGGTTACCCATCACGTGCTTTTTGGCCAAAAATCATGTTGTGCCTTGATATCATTGATCACAACACTTTCATAACCAATTCTAATGACTTTAATATGTTTAGATTATTAGATATCATTCAAAAGTTGTCCAAACACTTAACTAGCATCATTAATACTATTGATACATTAATCAAAGATGTTATCATCCTTATTTTCCGTTAAAGCTTCAAAACACCACTTATAACTTCTACATTGGATTTCCTTCAATAATTTGAACATAGAACACTTGAATCTACATCTAAATCATGTAAGAACCTTAAAATACATAATCAATTTCAAATTTAAATGGACCAATGTATGATCCACCATTATTAGAGCTCATAAACTTCTACAAAGCTTCATAACATCAAAATTGACTACAACGTTGATTCTTTAACCATGAGTTGAACTTAACATTACAAAATCTAACTCAAATCATAACATATGAATCTATTGATGATAAGGATTTGAACTTCCAACGACTTAGAAACCAATTTACATCAAAGCACAAGTCAAAACTCCATTCATGCAAAATGTACAACCAAAAACCCATAATCATCAAACATAGAGTCTAGAACCTTCATAATAGATGGAACTCTTAGCTTGTTGGATAAGAAGTCCAAACTATGATTACATACTAAATCAATCAATCAAAAGTTAAATTCAATGGTTATATACTTTATCTTCATCTTCAATGGTTATCAAAACTCAAAGAGTATATATATATATATATAAAAGTAGCATTTATATGCTACTCTTACGTCAACTTCCCAGTAGCATTTAAGGGGTAAAATAGTGAATTTACTTGTAATAAGTAGTTAATTCAATCAGATATATATATATATATATATATATATATATATATATATATATATATAT